TTCTGAGCTACCTCCTCAACCACGAAACGCGGCCGGTGCTTCTGCCGGCCGGCCCAATAGATGCCTACCTGCCCACCAAACGCCCGCTGTTTGCCCGCGAGGCGTTAGAGCTGCGGGGCGTCGCACCCGACGATCAGACGTATGGCGCGATGATCTCAATCAAGGAGTACGCGGGCGGGACCTGGGCGGGCTTATTGGACGAACTCACCCGTCTCCCGTTCGAGATGATTATCACCCAAAGTTTTGCTTTCAACGAACGGCAAACCTCACTAGAGAATCTTGCCCGCCAGGGCCGCGTTCTGGATGCGGCCGAGGATGCCGCGCTTTCACTCCGTCAAGGGTTGGTAGACGCCGCCGACGATTTGGCCTCAAACCGGGTCGTTTTTGGAGGGCATCATATCTCTGTGCTGCTCACCGCCCCAGACCTGCCCCGGCTTGAACGCGCCTTAACTGAAACCTCGGTGCGCCCTGCTCACAAACCTGGGCGTTCTCGCTGTTCGTGAGGACGTGAATCTTGAGCCGTCCTATTGGGCACAGCTGCCCGCAACCAGGATTTCATTGCCCGCCGCGCTGATATTTCCTCGCTCAATTGGGCCGGCTTCGCCAGCTTGCATAATTATCCGGCCGGCAAACGAACCGGGAACCATTGGGCGATTGTATCTCGCTTCTTTGGAGACTACCAGCGCCACGCCGTATGCCTTCAACTTTCATTCCTCAGATGTTGGAAATTTTACGGTTGTTGGGCCGACCGGGACTGGCAAAACTGTTGTCTTGACTTTTCTCCTGGCCCAAGCCCAGCGACATAAGCCGGCCTCGTTCTTCTTCGACCGCGACAGAGGCGCGGAACTTTTCGTGCGCGCTATCAGGCGGCTGGTACGGGGCATTTAAGCCAGGCGAGCCCAGCGGCTTGAATCCTCTTCAACTTGATGACTCCCCCGCCCACCGGACTTTCCTGAGAGATTGGCTCGGCACAATGTTGCGGCCTCCAGATGGTACGGCGCTGTCTTCTACAGACCAGGCGGTGATTGCTGAGGCGGTGGCCGCCAACTTTGATGTGCCCCCGGATGCCGCCGCCTCGGCCACTTACAAACACTCTTCCGTGGCCACGAACTCGACACGCAAGACAATTCCCTGGCGGCCCGGATTCGGCCGTGGTTTGGCGCGGGGGAGCGGGCTTGGTTATTCGATAACCCCAAAGATTCTCTTTCGCTGGGACTCACTCAGGGTTTTGATCTGACCTTTATCTTAGACGATCCCATCGCCCGCGTCCCGCTCCTGCTTTATCTCTTTCACCGCATTGAGCAGGCCCTCGATGGTCAGAAAGCCATCATTTTTATTGATGAGGGCTGGCGGGCGCTGGATGATGAAGCCTTTGAAGCCAGGCTGAGGGACTGGCTCAAAACGATTCGGAAAAAGAACGGCCTGGTGGGTTTCGGTACGCAGAGCGCAGAAGATGTGACGGGTACGAGCATCGGCAAGACGATTGTTGAACAGTGCCGGACACAGCTTTTCATGCCGAATTATAAGGCTTCCGAGGAGGGTTACTGTGGCGGCTTCGGGCTCACGCCGCATGAATTGGAAGTGGTCCGAGGAATGGGCGATACCTCGCGCTGCTTCCTGATTAAACATGATGCAACCTCGGTGGTGGCGAGGCTCGACCTGGGCGGAGAGGATGACATTATCTCTATCCTGTCCGGACGGGAGGAAACCGTTTTGCTGTGTGATGCTATTCGCGCCGAAGTCGGGGACGACCCGGCCGTCTGGCTCCCAATTTTTCAGGAAAGGAGAAAAGCCTTATGACTACTGCCCCCCGCGCCGGCTTGGGCTTGACCCTCGCCGCGCTGCTGCTTTTGGCCCCCGCCCCCTCCTCCCAAGCGGCGGGGATTCCCGTTGCCGACTCTGCCGCCTCCGGCCGCCTGGTCGCCCAATTAACCCAAATGGCCCAAATGTACACCCGCCAAAACGAGGAGCTAAACCAAGCCTTACGCCTGGTGCATTCCCTTAGTAATGCAACGGGCTACGGCACAAGCCTTGATAGTGCGGCCCTCATTGCTCTTCGGACGGCCCTCCCGCCCGAGATGAGCAATCTTAACAGCCTCCATATCACCGGCCACGCCACCACGGCCCGCAGCGTGGCTTTGTTTAACACCATGACTGCTCGGTATGGCCTGATGGAACCCGAGGCGTACACCCCGGCCGATGCAACCGCGCCTTATGCGCAAGCCTGGCGGGCCGACCGAGACGCCCAACTCGCAACGGCCGTGAGCACACAAGTGGTGTATGAAAATCTTGAGGAGCGGGAGGCGTTCTATGCCACCGCGATGACTGAGCTAGATACCCGCGCAGAACTCAAAGAGTCGGTCGATATCCTTGCCCGTCTGACCGCCGAAAACGGCCGTTTACTCATGGATTTAATCCGCGTGCAGGCACAGGCCGCTCAGGCCACCGCCGCCGCCCGGCTGAATGAACAAACCCACACCGCAAAAATGAGAAAGATGGGAGCATATGCAGACAATTTTACCGTTCCTTAGTAAAAAGTGTGGCCTGACCCTCCTCGCCGTGTCCCTCCTGGCGGCGGGGGGGTGTGCCCATCGGGAGCTGACTGCTCCCTGCTCGGACTATCAAGAGCGGCCTCTACGCAACCACCGGACGCTCGTCGAGCAGCCCTTGTGCACACCCACCCATACCAAACCCCGCTACACGATGCAGCGCCCAACCCTGGGGACCAGGCTGTCAACGCAGCTCCAAATGACAGCCGCCTAGCGTACACGCTACCTCGGTATTTGGAGCGGGCGGGCGAACAACGTCATGTCACACGCTCACGCAACGTCATGTTTCTATCCCTGTAAGGGTGCTATATTGTGTACTGACAGCCCCGACCGATCGCGGGCGGGGAGCGCTTAACTAGAAACATTCGGGACGCCCCAGACGTCCGGAGTGTCGTAGCCAAACGCGTCCTGAAGACCTACCATGCCCCAACGCACCGCGCGAGAACGTACGCGCACCTACGCTAGAGATGTTTGGGACGCGCTCCTTTGATACGCCCGACGGCCCGCTGAAACGCCGGTGTAGCGGTCAGGCACACCCCTGACCCCTGATGGTGATTGGTTATCTTCTCCTCACGGGCCAGCTCAGCCTCCAAGCCGGACAGTTTTTCTTCCCCACACGCCTACATTATCGCATTGGGTGTTCCTAGTGGCGCTGTTGTTGAATATGCCACTAATCTTTGACAGGGCCCACTTTAACTGGTGACAGCGCCCCACAACGCGGTCTGAGTTTTAAGGTTGGTATGCAGGATGTATGTGCGGCGCCAGCGCATCAACAACGAAGCCGCAGTAATTGACTTGATTGAAGTGGTGTGACGCCGGCATTGTGCACCGCTTCTGCAGATTGTTTGGGAGGACAGCGGTTATCTTGACTACATGCACTGCCAGCCATCCCCCACCACTGACCTACCTCCGCTCGCCATGTTTATTTCACTGCAATGTTGATCACGCTCTGATCTATAATGCCACATGCCTCTGAATTGGCGCTATCCGCCGCCACCGGGCACCCACACCCCACTCCACCACAGGCTCCCCCGAACAACGCCACCGGCAGCAACACACCCGAGAAAAGGGCCCCCAGAGACCCCCCGGCCGGCCCATGATCCTGACATCTAAGCACAACCATGGGCTCCCTTGCCTCTCTTTCTTTCCGGTGCGTAGGGATCGAGGGTGTACGCCTGCTGGAACGCGTAGTAGGCGGCCCTCGGGTAGAGCTCATAGAGGCTGTTGTGGTCGGGGGGTCCCTTGGCGACGATCCCCCACCACTCCTCGTTCATGTTGTTCCGGCCCTCGACGAAATCCTCCACGTAGCCGCCGTTCGCCCACGAGGCGTTCGTGTCCTGGATGTCGAGCCGCGACTCCTGGCCGAACTTCCACCAGCCGTCCGACCACTGGAAGGTGAGGCCGCCGATCGAGTTGCCGACCAGGCCCTTCCCCGCCGACTGCTCGTAGATCTCGCGCCACTGCCCGATCAGGTACTTCGCCTGCGTGACCTGGTCCTCGCGCATGTCCTTCGCGTTCCACACGTCCGCGCCGAACTCGGTGAACATGACGGGGCGGTCGAGCTTGTCATGCACCTCCTGGAAGAGCTGCCCGAAAGAGATGCCGCGGTAGACGTTGGTGCCGAAGACGTCCAGGTCGGGGACCCTCTCCTCGGCAATGATTTCGAGGTACTGGAGATCGCCGTTGGCCATTGCGATCGGGTGGGTGGGATCCATCTCCTTGATGCTCCGCGCGACATCCCCGAAGAGGGAATACATGTGGCGTGCCCGCACCGCGTTGGCCTCGCCCTCGGGCAGATCCTCCGTCTCGGCCGAACTCCACGCCAGCCCGTAGTTGTTCTCGTTGCCGAGGAGCCACATGAGGAGGCCGGGTGTGTCCTGGAAGTCGTTCACCATCTCCTCGATCTCGGCCATCACCTGCGCTCGCGCCCGGGGGTCGGAATAGTCCGTGTTCGCGCTGAAGACGCCGCCGACCGTCACCCCGTACCTTCCCATCGCGTGGTTCAGAATCGTGAAGATCCCGTAGCGCTCGTAGATGTGCCTGACCCACTTCGGCGTGATCCCCACATAGGTGCGAATCGCGTTGCCGCCCATCGCCTTCAGCAGCGACATCTCTCGTTCGAGCGCCGCCTCGATGATGTGGTCGGGCTCGGTCCAGAAGCTGTAGTTGTAGGTGGTGCCGATCGGGAAGTAGTCCCAGTTGACGCCCTGCACCATCATGTCCTCGCCGTCCACCCGGAGGCGCGTGCCGGAGCCGTCCGTGACGAGTTCGATGACGGGCATGCGGGGCGTGGTGTCCTGCGCGGATGCGGGGGCGGGTGACACGGCGGATGCCAGGACCAGGAACAGCGCCGGCGCTGTTGGAAGCCCCGCGGCGAGGCTGCAGGTCTGGTGGCGGATCGAATTCATGGTGGCATCCCTGGGGACGGGCCCAAAAGGGACTTTGTTCGGCTGCCGAACAAAGTGCGGGGGAGAGGGTGCGTGTGTCAAGAAGCGGGATCGACCGGATTCCGTGCAATCGGCAGATCGGAAGGTGTGGGGCGGCAATTCTGCTGGAACAAGCGGGTCTCCCACCAAGACGCGATGGGGCGTGGACGAATCAGGGCAGGTCCAGGTGTCCCTGCGCCTCGTGCAGCACGGCCGGGTCGTGGCCGAAGGCAACGCATCCTGGTCCCTGAGGCCGAAGACGGAATGGATTCTTGTCGTCTCCCGGGGCATCGTTCTCGCGCAGGGAGGCGATAACTACACCATTGACGACGTGACGAACCCTACCTGCGAATCGCTCGCAATCGTGCCTTTCTGCGACGGCGTGCTCCGCATGCGGATCGAGGATTCGGCGGCCAGCTTTCTCGAGGAGGGGCTTTGGCTACTGTGGGTGGGCGTCGACAGCGAAGCGCCCGCTGGGGTCGTTTACTGAATCCCCAATCCCCGATGTTTCATTTCGGCGGATCGCACACGTGGTCGAACACCGCGACCGCTATCCCTCCGCAAGCGGCCTTCACCTGCGCCCAGTCCAGCCATCGGGCCGCCAGGTCCCTGTACTCGGAGAGATTCGACTCGTCGAGATCGTAGGGAAGAGGGTTGGCCAACTGAGCTTGGAGTTGCTGGAGGGCGGACTCACCACTCTTCTGGGGATACAGCCGGTCGAAAGACCGCAATGCCTCGCCAGTCGATCCGGGTCCCATTCGGGTCGCCAGGGCCACGAAGTCGAGGTAGTCCCGGGTAGCATTGCGTTTGAGGATGAGGACCCCTTTGATCTGGAGTATCTCCGCTTGGGTCGGGATGGTCAGTGCCGCTCCCTCCAAATCGAGTGTGGTCGTCTCGAGCGGTTCCGTGCGGATCAGCTGCCGTACCCCCGTCTGGATCCCATCCAGGCTTCCCAGAATCTGCACGGGCCGCGCCAACCGCGCCGTCCTCCAGCCGGCGACAGATTCCAGTTGCTGGAGCACCTCATCGAAGCGCAAGCGAAGATCGGACGGCGCATGATCGGCGTCCAGCGAGAAACGGTGCTCCGCATGGATGGCAGCCGCCGTGCCGCCGACCAGAACGGCGCCAGCAGGAATTTGCTGGAGGCGCGCCGCCGAAGAAAGCAGTCGCTCCCACTCAGGAAGGTGTTCGCGATTGCCTGGCATACCGCCTCCAGAAGTGATGACGCTGTGCGTGCGGATCGCTCTCGTACCGGGCACACACGCGCTCGATTCTGTCCAGGATCGACCGATCCCGAAGGGCCGCCTGGCGAAGGTCGGCCCAATTGCGCCACTGCCCCCGGGCGATGATATCGTCGATCGCGGCGAGGGTCAGCCGGCTGTGGTTGAGGTGGCGGTGGCGCATGCTTCGGCTACGGATATGGCACCCGGACGCCAAATTCGTTTGAATTGACGATCCGCGAAATGCCGCTCAGTACCTCAAGGTAACATACGGGGGTGCTCTCCAGTCTCCCGGCGACAGTTACCGCCTCCACGCGACCGGACCGGGGATCCCCGGGCTGGTCCACACCTCGAGTCCCTGAAGCGGCAACCAGCTCGCACGCCCGTCCGGACCGGCCAGCCTCGCGGCCGACGAACCCCGCAGAATGCCACGAATCCGCCCCGAACGCGGATCGCGCACGATGACCACCGGCCGATCGGTGTCCGAATCCAGCGTTGCGTTTCCGCCCGGCCCGGACAGCGTGATACTGGCAAGCTGGTCCCCCCACCCCACTTCCACCGGAATGGCAAAGACGAAACTCGACCCACCGTCGCCCCCGTCCACCACCGGCATTCCGAAGCGCAGGGAGAACAGCTCTTCGCCCTCGGCGGTCCGCCCCGTCACCTCATGGTCGCCACCCGACAGCGGCAGCGCCGGCGGCGCGTCGACCACAAGCGCGGGTTCCAGGTAAGGTGTCCCGCCGGCGTCCACGCCACCCCACAGCAGCAACGAGCGGGCCGTGGCCGCGGCGACGGACGGCCTGACATTCTCGTCGACCAGGCGGTAGCTGTACGCATTCGTGAAGTGGTAGTCGCTGATCCAGCGCACCGGGCCGCAGTTGGACATCAGGTCCGGGGTCGCGGGCGAAACCAGCTCTCCGACACCCGGATCGTAGCCCCAGGCGCCGATCGCTCCATTCCCGTGGGGATAGTACGGGTCCGGGTCCTCCTCGCTGCAAGGGGCGGAGCGGAGATTGAAGAGGTGACCCACCTGCCGGACGATGGCGCTTGCCTCGGGGACTACGAAGCCGTGGCGGCCACCCTGGCGGCTCTGTCCCGTTCCGCCGTCGACGGACCCCGACATCGTTCCCATGTAGCGAACGTTCCAGATGAGGGCACTACCCTGCTCCATGATTTCGAATCGCCTCCGTCTCCTGATACAGCTTTCCCACCTCGTTGGACGATGTCCACACGGGCTCATGGACCTCGGCGGTTACCTCGGCGACCGGCAACAGGGCCCGCGTCGGAGCCAGCAAGTCATGGCTCGTGGGACCGTCGGCCATCTCCTGGACCACCTCCAGAATCGCCGAGTCCGGATCCTCGCTCCAAAGGAAGGGAAGGAACATGAAGTCCAGGGGAGGCATGACCTCCGCCCGGATTGACAGACGGCCGTTCTCCGGGATGCGCCTGGCCACGCCCAGATCCGGGTCCAGAGTCCCTTCGGGGTCGATCTCTATCACCATTTCCAGCCCTGGCTGCACCAGCTCACCCGGGATCTCGGCATTGGCCGACTTCAGGAGCGAACCCTCGTCGATCGTCGTGGGGATGCGCGTCGACTGTCCGGGAATATCGACCACATGCGTCTCGGTCCCGTCCAGGTAGAAGCTGGCCCGGACAGCCGGAAGGCCGACATCGGTTGTGCGCAGCGCCGTCGGGAACACGCGCAGCAGGGCGTCTTCACCCGCAACCAGCGGGACCGGGAATCGACGCGACTGGACGGCCTGCACCAGATAGGCAGCCAGCCCCTGACATGTACGCACCCGTCGCGTCGTGATGCTCTCCAGCCAGAGCATCATCTCCGGCTCGTCGGGTGCGCAAACGCCGGTTTCCCCCGCCAGGAGCGTTCTCAGGCGAAGATCCGTCCACCTGCCCGGAACCTCGGCCGACAGCCCGGGGTTGCGGCGAAGGTCGAGCCGCCTGAGCGTGGCGAGGGCGCCCATTTCCTCGGGGAGCGGCCCGGACAGGTCGTTGCCCGAAAGGTCGAGCACGGCGATCGAGCCCAGTTGCCCGAGGCTCGCTGGAATGGGCCCCGTCAGGTAGTTGTCGGAGAGGTTGACCGAGTCAACTACCCTCAAGCCTCCGAGTTCGGGCGGAATGGCGCCCGTCAGCTCGTTCCCCGAGAGCTGCAAATGTTCCATTCGCCAGAAGTTGCCGAAGCCGGCCGGAATGGATCCTGTCAGCCTGTTGTTCTGCAGCCTCAGCCACCTGAGCCCGGGGAGGCCGCCGATCGCGGAAATGGTACCCGTCAGATTGTTGTCCCGCAGATCCAGAGTCCAGAGAGAACCGAGACGGCCCAACAATATCGGGATTGGACCGGTCAGATTATTGTTCCCCAGATTCAGGTACCGGAGAGAACCGAGATTGCCGAGCTCCCCCGGGATCAGGCCGATCAGATTGTTCCCTTCCAACCCCAGCGAAAGGAGTTGGTCGAGCCCACCCAGTGCCACCGGAATCGGACCGGTCAACTCGTTGTCGCCGAGAACGAGACCCTTGAGATTGGCCAGGTTGCCGATTTCCGCTGGAATCGGGCCGGACAGGCGATTGTCACTCAGCCCCAGAGCTTCCAGGCCGGTCAGATTGCCAAGTGCTGCCGGAATCGGACCGGTCAGACGATTGCCACTCAGCCACAGATTGTCCAGGCCGCTCAGATTGCCCAGTGCCGCGGGAATCGGGCTGGTCAAGTCGTTGTAGGTGAGATTGAGAGTCTTGAGGCTGTCCAGGTTGCCGAACTCCGCCGGGATCGGGCCCGTCAACCGATTGCCCTCCAGAGTCAACTCGATGAGATTCGCCAGTCTGCCCAACTCCACCGGGATCGGGCCGGTCAGGTCGTTGTAGCCCAGAAACAGCACGGCGAGATTGGACAGGTCGCCCAGCCGCGGCGGGAGCGGGCCCGTCAGTTCGTTCCAGCCGAGATTCAGGTGGCTGAGGGCCGACAGGCGACCCAGCGATTCCGGGATCGGGCCCGTCAGCTTGTTCCAGGTGAGATTCAGGTGGCTGAGGGCCGACAGGCGCCCCAGCGATTCCGGGATCGGGCCCGTCAGTCGGTTCTGGTACAGGTCAAGGTAGCCGAGGCTGGTGAGGTCGCCGAGTTCGTGTGGAATCGCACCCGATAGTCTGTTGGTGCGCAGGTCCAGGGTAACAAGAGCACCGAGTTCGCCGAGTTGGGGGGGAATCGCACCCGACAATCTGTTGTTCCCGAGTAGCAGGTTCTCCAGCTCGGTGAGGTTGGCCAGCTCGGCGGGGATCGAACCGTTCAGGCCGTTGCGGGTGAGGTCCAGTCCGATTACGCGGCCTGAATGATCGACCTCTACTCCGTACCAGAGCCCGAGCGGCGCGTCCGTCAACCAGTTGTCCTGTTGACTCCAAGCATATCCATTCGTCGCTTCGTAGAGCGCGACCAAGGCGGTCCTTGTGGGTTCTGCCTCCGGTACAGGCTCGACCGAGTCGTCGCACCCCGTAAAGAAGGCCAGGCCCGTCGCGAGGATGAGCAGGGGCGTCCAATTGTTGTAGCCAAACCTTCTTCGATCCAACATCCGAGCTATCCTCATCTGACAACCTCGTCCTGGTGGGCTCCGCCGGTTGGGGGGAACAGAACGCCGACTCCGCAGTCTGGGCGACCACGAGAACGCCCAATTACCCCGGCGTGTACCCTTCGTACAGGAAAGCTGGCCGGATAGTTCCAGGTCCCGTACTCGATTGCGGCGGACCGCGCGGTACGTACTGACCCCTCAAAACGCCTTCAGATACGTCAGCTTCACTACGCCCGTCCGGCGCTGCCAGCGCTCCGTCCGCGGGTCCAGAATGTCGCCCGTCAGATAGCCTGTGTCGAAGACCACGAAAAGGTCGCTGCCCGGGGTGTGGATCCAGTCGATCCGGACGTTGGCCTGCACCACGTTGGACACGTCGTCGTACTGGACCAGGGCGTTGGCGAAGAGCGAGCGGCTGACCGCGCCCAGGACGGTGACGCCGAAGAGACGGGTGGTGAAGTCCCCGTCCTCGACGGGAAGGCTGACGTCGTTCCAGGTGTAGTCGCCACGGACCGTGAGGTAGGGGCCGGTCTTTCCACATCAGGCCGCCCCCCAGCTCGGTTCGGGTGCCGCCCCAGAACTCGCCCACGGAGAACCCCGCGCGCCCCGAGAAGCGGCGGCTGTCGTTGGTGGTGAAGCGGAACTCCGCACGGTCGAAGACGTAGTCGCCGGCAGCCAGCTCGCGGCCCTGGATCCGCACTGTTGCGGAGGTCGGCCTCGATCGAGGTGGCTGTCGCAACCGCGCCGGATGACGCCGAAGTACGGGCCACCCAGCCCTGTACGAAGCTGGAACCGCCGAAGCGGATCTGCATGTCGCCCCCCACCACCCTGCTGGCCCCGGCGTCCGTATCCAGCGAGGTGAAGATCCCCCCGACGGTCGTTCGGGGGAACGGATCGGCGCGCAGCCGCAGCACCGTATTGAGTCCCCCAGGCACGATTCCCCCGCCTGGAGCGGTGGCGTCGTCGGTGTAGAGGCTGAGCGCCCCCACCGAGACGGGTCCGGCCTGCCCGGTCAGCCGGCCGCCCCCCACGATGTCGTTGGCGATGCCGATCCGCCGGCTGAAGAACACTTCCGTCTCTTGCGCGTCGCCGAAGCCGAACAGGCCGGCCCGTTCCAGGAAGAACTCGCGCTTCTCGGGAAGAACGAGGCTGAAGCGGGTGAGGTTGATCTGGACGTTGTCCGCCTCCACCTGCGCGAAGTCGGGATTGAGCGTGGCGTCGCAGGGTGAGGTTGGGCGTGACCGAGTACTTCAGGTCCAGGCCCAGGTCGTTGAGCGTCTCGGTGGCGGCGAGGCCGCGTCCCGCCTCCCGGTGGTCGAGCGACCCGTGATGGCGAAGGCTGACCTCGATGTAGCGGCCCCGGCGCAGGTCTTCGAGACCGGTCAGGGTGGCGTGAGGGAGACCTGCGTGAGGGCGTTCCGGCTGACCTCCTGGCCGATGTGCGGGAAGTACACCACCTCGTTCTTGCGGCGTATGGTGCGCTCCATGAGGATCCCCATGACGGGCGCGTCGGCGTCGCGAAACGGATGGTCGTAAAGGGGACGGCCGCCTCGACCACCCAGCCGTCCTCGGTGATTCGCGCCTGGCTCTCGTAGACCCCTCCCAGTTCCAGTCCGCGAGCGTCATCGACTCGTCGGTGATGAGCGCGTCGCCCTGGGTGCCGAAGGGATTGATCTCGAAGATGTAGGCGTTGCGCCTGTCGTGGTACGTGTCGAGTCCCGATGCGGATGTTGTCGTCCTGGTCGATCTCCCTTCGCGGTGCAGGATGCTGCGCGATTCCTTCCGGGTCCGTGTCGTGGAGTACGATGGCGAAGTAGAGGTAGTCGTCGTCGAAGGCCACGCGGAACTCGGTGCGCTCCGACGAGGTAGCCCCGTCCACGGGGACGCGCTGGCGGAAGTCCGTGACCGGTTCGATTTCGCGCCAGAACGGCTCGTCGAGAACCGCGTCGATGGTGGGAGGGTGGGGCGCGCGGACGGCCCGGATCGTCGGCCCCGAAGGAGGCGGATCTTGTGCGGCGGCACCGAGTGAATCCTGGCTCACGGGGCCGGGCCGGAAGGCGGCACCGGATTCGATGGGTGACGCGAAGCCCGGGACGGGTGACAGAATAGTGACCAGGGCCGTCAGAAGGGGCCCGCGGAGATGCCCTGGCAACAGGGTCAGGGGAGCGCGCGGGGCGGACGCACCGGCACACCCCCCGGCGGACTACTCGTCGTCGTGGTCCATGTCGTCGTGGTCCTCGTCGTCCGCGTCCATGTCGCAGCTCTGCTGGCAGCAACAGAGGCCGCAGGTGCAGCCGCAGTCGCCCGTCCAATCGCAGCAGGCGCTCTTCTCTTCCTCGTCGCAGGACCCACACGACCAGATCCAGCAGCACCCCTTCCCGCATCCCTTGCCGCCCCTCTTCCGGCGCAGCCAGCAGATCACGAGAATGACCAGCAGGATCTGGGGCAGGCCGATCCGGAAGGCGGAGCCCCAGAACTCCGCCATGGAAGTCATGTACCAGCTGAATGCGTCTCCGAACATGGTTTCCGTCCTCAGTCAGGCAGTTGTCGTACGAGCTATGGTTACGTGTGACGGCCCCGGCATGTTTCGCCGATGCACGCCGACGGGGAGTCCCCAGAGGCGGAACTCCCCCCTATATCAAGGAATCGGCACGAAGGCGATAGATGGCAAGGCCCGTCCAGGCCCCGAGGACCCCGCCACCCACCGTGGCCCACATGGTCGGGGGGAAGAAGACACCCGACGACGCGAGCACCCCCAGCACAATCGCACCTGCCCCGCAGTAGGCCAGCAGCGTCAACACAGCGCGGCGGCGGGCGGGCGGGATCACCGGTTCCTCACCAGGGCGACCCGCGTACCGTCTGCGCTGACCGCGATGCGGGAGATGTCACCCCCCGCCGCCTCGCCCAGATGCGCCACCTCCCACCACCCCGCGTCCGCGGACCAGGCCAGGAGCTTGGCGCCGTCCCCGATGAGGATCTCGCCTTCCGGGGTCCACGCGTAGTCCTCGCGGCCGGGGGGCGTCGCCACAATGCGCGTCGTCTCCCCCGTTACGGGATTCAGCCGCTCGATCCACCACTCGTTCTCGGCGACCTTGCGCACGAAGGAGATGTCCTGCGACCCCGGGATGCGGTGGATGGAGCGGCCGGGGTTCTCCGCCACGACGCGCACCTCGCCGGAGAGCGCGTCGCCGACCTGGAGCGTGGGGGGGTCGCCGAGGACGAACATGGCCGTGACGGTCCCGGTCGCCCAGGCGTGATACCCCACCGGCTCCACGGTGGCGAAGATGGGACCCAGGTCGGTGCCGTCCGCGCCGTAGCGCCACAGGAACTGGCGCCCCCGCACCTCCCGGATCGCGGAGAAGGCGTCCTGCGCGGGGATGGGCGTGGGCGAGAACTCGCTGGCGCCGGGGGTATGGGTGACCTGCTCCACGGCGCCTTCTTCCAGGACGTAGCGGAAGGTCTCGGTCTGCGTCGAGTCCACGACCGAGGTGTAGTAGACGGCCCGGCCCGAGGGGTCGAAGGCGGGCTGGTTGTCGTAGCCGTCGCGGCCGGTCGCGTTGGCCAGGTCCCGCATGAAGAGGGCGCCCCCGTCACCGCGCTCGATCCGTCCGATCCAGATGTCGGTCGAGGGGGCGCCCGCGGCGGTGGGGCGGTAGTCCTCCGGGGCCGGGCCGATCTCGGGGGCCGGGCCGTCGGCGGGGGTGGCCGCGAAGGGTCGGCGGGGGGGGTGGGGGTGCCCGCGCCGGAATCCGGGGCGCAGGCGAGTGACAGGGTGGCCGTGAGGAGGAGGACGGTCGCGACACCTGGCGCGGACGAGACCGTTTGATCGTTCCCGGCCGCTTCCGGCTCGGGCCGTGGGGCCAGGGCAGCCGCCAGCGCGCTCGGGCTCAGTCCCCAGTCGCTGAGTGCAGCACCGGACCGGGGTCCGCCCGCGCGCGTCACTCCCAGAAGCAGGTGGGCGCCCATGGTGGCGCCGCTCTCCGATGTCGACGCCGCTTCCACGGCAGCCGCGAGCACCTCGTGAGACGCGGGGGTGAAGGGAAGATGACCTTCGTACGTCTCCGGGAGATCGCGCATGGGGTCGGGGAACGTATCGGGGTCGAGTTCCAGTTGCTCAAGGACCCTGAGGAGGTCCGGGTCCGCCTGCGAAATCACCCCCGCCAGGATGTGGCACGGCGCGATCGCCTCGCCGCCTTCGCGCGCGGCGGCCGCTGCTGCGCGGTTCAGCGCGTGGACGGCATCGTCTGCTAGGTTAATGGCCATGGTGAAATCTGTGTGGGCAACAAGTGGGGTTTCAAGTGCCGGCGGCGAGGTGCTCAACCGGCCCGGGCGCCGCCGCCGGGGGTTCATCCACGGGCACCTGGCCCTCTTCGCCGTGGCCCTCTTCGCCTGCGACAGCCGGTCCGCGCGCGATCTCGGCGAGCTCATCGTGCAGGACAGCACCTATCTGGATCCGGAGACGATGCTCCCCTACTCGGGCCGGGTCCTGCGCCACTTCTCCGGTGACGAGGAGGGGCGGATGTTCCTCGAGGCCACGCTACGCGACGGTACTGGGAGGGTGAGCTCACCATCTACCACACGACCGGGCGGATCCGCTATCAGGGCGAGATGTCGGGCGGCGCCCGCTGCGGCGCATGGACCGAGAACGAAAACCCCGTCGAACCGGAGAGCGTCTACGACGCGATCAAGGAGGACCTGGAGTCGATCGTGCTGTACCCGGAATGCCCGGAGAAGTAGGGACCGTCCGCCCGCTAGTTGAACAGCCAAGACATTAGACGGCGACCGATATCAACCGAGTTGAAACTGGGACCGTGGGAACCACCCTCGATGGTCCAAAGCTCCAGGTCGATCCCGTCTCCGCAACCAGCCTCGTACCGGGTAGGCAGCGTCTCCGCCTCGGGGAGGTTGAGAACCAGGTCGATGGGCTCCAGGTCTGCGGCGGCATCCACATCGCACCCCGCGCGGTTGGCCCAACGTTGCACCGTCTGGGCGGCCCGGGATAGTGGAAGTCGCCGGCGGCCGATCTGCGGAACCCGCCCCCGTACCAGATGGTGCCATCGCTCGTGCCATGCAGGTGCAGCACCGGGACCGGATTCGCCCCCTCGCATCGGTTCGGGTCGTCGAACGTAGTTCCGGCCAGGCTCACGATCCCTTTCAGTCCCGGCATCGACTCGCAGGCCATCCGGTACGCCATGAAGCCGCCGTTCGAGTGACCGACCAGATACACGCCGGCCCTGGTGACATAGTCGGCCGCTTCCTCATACAGGCTGTTCAGGTAGCCCGCGTCGTCGGGGTCGGTGTTCCAGAAATCGCAACAATAATCGGTGGCATTCCAGAATCTCTGCCCGTTCGGGTTCTTGGAGCCTTCCGGAAGGATCACCGCGAAGTGATCGTCGTTCACCCGTCTCGAGATCCCCAAGTACCGATTAATGGCTCCCGAGTGGCTGTTGTATCCGTGCAACATGATCACGACCGGGATCGGCGTGCCGGCGACGTAGTCCAACGGCCGAATCAGGGTCGCGGGACGCAGGCCGCCGATCGTGAAGATGGACTCGGTCTCGTGTGCGATCGGCTCGGACTCGCAGGCCAGGGTCAGGAGCGCCAGAGGCGCCAGAAGCTTGAAGGTTCTCATGAGTCTCCCTCCTTTTCGCTGTCAGCCCGCGGCAGCTCCCCGGCTGCCTGTCCGCGTATCCGGGCTGTCGTAGTCATCGGCGGCTCCTTCCCGAGTAACATACTGGTCCAGTACGTCCTCGCGCACCCTCTCCCGGCTGCGATCGCGCGGATTCCCCAGCCCACCGCCCCCCGGCGTCTCCAGAACGATCCGGTGACCGGGCGGAACCACCTCCCTCCCCTTCACCCGCAGCTCCCCGACACCCGGCACGTAGACCCTCCCAGGAGCACCCATTCCGCCCCCGTCCCGGCCCCGCGCGGCGTTGCGCACCCGCTCGAACATCTTGGAGACGGCGAAGGGGGCGCCGTCCGCGTGCGACACCTCCATGACCTGGCCCAGTCCCCCCCGGTGCTCGCCCGGCCCCCCCGAGTCCGGGATGTACTCCTTCCGCCAGAAGATCAGCGGCGCCACCGTCTCGGTGATCTCGATCGGCGTGCTCCGCACCCCCGACGGGAAGGATGTCGCGCTCAGCCCGTCCTTGCCCGGCCGCGCCCCCGTGCCTCCGGTATGGAACGGGTTGACCACAAACGCCTCCGAGTCCCCATACGGATGCCGCCCCCGTGAGCCCCGGCCCCCCCATGAAGACCGGGTTCCAGAGACACGACGCCCCTTCCGCCGGGACCGACCCGGGGGGCATGGCCTGGCCCAGGCAGCCAAGCACCACGTCCGGTAGCATCTGACCGATCGAGTGGCGGGCGGAGACGGCGGCGGGCGGTGGCGCGTTCAGAAGGCAGCCGGACGGCGCCGTGACCTCGATCGTGCCTAGTGAGCCCGCGTTGTTGGGGACTTCGGACCCGACCACGCAACGCACTCCGAACGAGCCGTACGCCCGCGTATACGTCTCGGGGACGTTGATCCCGTACGGTGACATGGGCGAGGTGCCGGTGAAATCGATGTGGATGCCGTCGCGCGACACGGTGAGCGCGCACACCAGCTCCAGGTCCTGGTCGTAGCCGTCGATGGTCATGCGGTGGCGGTAGGTGCCGGGCTTGAGCGCGCGGATCCGTTCCAGCATGGCGCGCCGCGACGCCGTGAGGATCATCTCGGCCAGCCCGTCCAGCGAATCGAGGCCGAACTCCTTCATCATCGCGATGAGGCGCTCGCCGCCTGTGCGGTTGCACGCTGCCAGCGAGTAAAGGTCGCCCTGCGCGACATCGGGATCCCGCACGTTGGCGCGCACCATCCGCATGAGGGTCTCGTCCACGCGGCCGGCACGGATGAGGTACCCGATGGGGATGCGGATGCCCTCTTCGAAGACCTGGTTCGCGTCGGCGCCCGAAGCCGCGACCGCCCACGTCGGCGATGTGACTGGTGGCGGCGAAGAGCGCGACCGGGCGGCCGTCGAGGAAGGTGGGGGTCACGACGGTGAAGTCGTTCAGGTGACCGGTGCCCTCCCACGGGTCGTTGGTAACGAGGACGTCCCCCTCCACCAAGGTCTCCACGGGGTGGTCGCGGAGGAAAAACCCCACCGAGGCCGCCATGGCGTTGACGTGCCCGGGTGTTCCCGTGACGGCCTGGGCCAGCATGCGGCCGGAGAGGTCGAAGACGCCGGCGGAGAGGTCGCCCGCCTCGCGCACGGGTGTGGAGAAGGCGGTGCGCACCAGGGTGCGGGCCTGTTCCTCGACCACCGACAGCAGCCGGCTCCACATGATCTGGTCCTGGAGGGCGGAGACGCCGGCCCGGGCCGTTGCGCGCGCCCGCCGTTCGGCCAGCAGGTGGCCGCCGGGGAGGACGGTCGCTTCCCAACCGTTGGGAACGACGGTGGTGGTCTGATCTTCGGCGATCAGGGCGGGGCCGCTGACGTGGTCGCCGGCGTCCAGATCGTGCCGGTGGTGGACCGCGGCGCGGACGAATCCTTCTTCCGTACCTTCGAATAGCTGAGTCCAGGCGGTCGGAGGGGGACGCGGCGCCTGGGGCGCCGCTGGGTGGGCGGTCGCAGGCTCCCTGGGCTCCCCGGGCTCGTCGGGTCCTCCGGCAAGCGCGGCCGCGGGATCTCCGGGCGCCGCGGGGTCGTCGTCGGAGTCAGGCGCAGAACCTCCGGGCTCGCCGGGGTCAACCGCGGACGCGCCGGAGTCCTCCACCGCCCGCGCCGGCGCCGACACTACCAGCGTCCAGCTCAGCACTTCCACATCCAGTCCCGGAATCGTGCGCCCGTAGACCGTACGGTAGGCGCGGTCGAAGGCCGCCCGGAGTGCGGCGACCGCTTCTTCAGAGTTCGCTTCAGAGTCCACTTCCGAGCTCCCTTCCGACCTCAGTCCACCCTCCACCCCCACCACCTCGAGCGGCAGCTCCACCCCGATCTCGTGCCCCTGTCCCACGTAGCGCATGTAGGCGTGGGCCCGCTCGGTGGTGGCCACGCCCGGCGCCCCCTCCCCCACCACCCCAACCGCCTCCGCTCTCATCCCGGCCAGCACCTCGCGCACCAGTCCCGGATCGAGCGCGCACAGCCGCATGTAACGGCTCCGCACGACCTCGTACGAGATCGGCGCCAGCAGGAACCCCACCGCCGACCCCACCCCCGCGTCGCCCGGCACGAGGAACCGGTCCAGCTCCAGCTTGTCCGCGAGGCGGGCCGCGTGAATCGGCGCCGACCCCGAAGGCGATCACGGTGCGGCAACCCAGCCCCTTCCCCCACTCGATGGCGTGGGTGCGGGCGGCGTTGGACATGTTCTCGTCCACCATCTCGCTGACTCCCAAGCGCGGCCACGCGCGCGTCGAGTCCCAGCTTCGCACCCACCCGGCCCGAGACCACCTCCGCCGCCCGGCTCCGGTCCAATCCGATCGCGCCCCCCGCGAAAAGCTCCGGGTCGATCCGGCCCAGCACGACGTCCGCGTCGGTCACGGTGGGATCTTCCCCGCCCCGCCCGTACGCCGCCGGCCCCGGCTCCGACCCGCGCTCTCGGGCCCCACATGGATGCGGTCCAGGTCGTCCACTCCAGCTATTGACCCGCCCCGGCCCCGATTTCCACCATCTCGATGACCGGGATCCGCACGGGCAGCCCGCTGCCCTGCTTGAAGCGGTAGCTGCGGGCCACCTCGAAGGTGCGCGAATGGAGCGGCTCGCCCCCGTCGATGACGCAGAGCTTGGCCGTGGTGCCGCCCATGTCGAAGGAGAGCACGTCGCCCAGATCGAGTTCGCGGGCCAGGTGGCTGGCCAGGATCGCGCCCCCCGCCGGGCCCGATTCCACGAGGCGGATCGGGGCCATGACCGCTGTGTCGAGGGTGGTGAGGCCGCCGCCGGAGGTCATGAGGAGAAGGGGCAGACGAGGCCGCGTTCCCGCAGCGAGGCGGCGAGCCCCTTCAGGTAGCGGGCCATGAGGGGCTGGACGTAGGCGTTGGCGCAGGCGGTGGAGAGGCGTTCGTACTCGCGCACCTCGGGGCAGACGTCGGAGGCAAGGGTGACGGCGAGGCCGGGCCGTTCGGCCGCGAGGATCTCGCCGATGCGCCGTTCGTGGGCCGGGTTGGCGTAGCCGTGGATGAGCCCGACGGCGACGGATTCGACGCCGTGTTCGTCGAGGACGGGGAGCAGAGTGTGGAGCGTGTCCTCGTCGAGGGGGATGAGGACGCGGCCGTGGCGGTCGACGCGTTCCCGCACGGGGAGGCGGAGGCGGCGGGAGACGAGGGGGAGCGGGCGATCGACACTGATGTCGTACTGCTCGAAGCGGTTCTCCTGGCCATCTCGAGGGCGTCGCGGTGTCCCTCGGTGACGATCAGCGCGGTGCGCGCGCCCTTGCGCTCGATGACCGCGTTGGTGGCCAGGGTGGTGCCGTGGATGGCGAGCCGCACCGCCGAGGGGGCGACCGACGCCATCTCGAGGACCTTGGCGACTCCGTCGAGCACGCCCCGCTCGGGAGCGGTTTGGGTGGTGAGCACCTTCGTGGTGACGAGGCGGCCGCCGGTCTCGAGCGCCACGTCGGTGAAGGTGCCGCCGATGTCGATGGCGAGGCGGGCGGTTCCGCTGGATCCGGGCATGTCAATGGCTCCCTGGGCCACCCGCTCCTTCTTCACGCAGCGGCACGGTGTAGTTGAGCGACAGCCGCCCACCGTCCGGATAGATGGTGTCCCCCGTGATGTACGACGCGTAGTCCGAGGCCAGGAAGACCGCGACGCTCGCCACCTCGGACGGGTCGCCGATCCGGCCCATCGGCGTGCGTGACAGGATCGTGCGGCGCGCCTCGTCGTTGGCGATGACAACCTCGAGCATGTCGGTCAGAATCGTCCCGGGACCGATCGCATTGACGCGGATGTCGTGCGGCGCGAGGGCCATCGCCATCGCCTTGGTCATCTGCGCGACGCCGCCCTTCGAAGCGGCGTAGGCCAGCTGCTCGGGAATCGTCACCACGGCGTTGGTGGACGACATGTTGATGATGCTGCCCTTGGTGCCGCACTCCACCATGTGCCGCGCCACCAGTCGGCCGAGCAGGAAGGAACCGCGCAGGTTCACCGCCAGCACCCGGTCGAAGTCCTCGACGGCGGCGTCCAGGATCGAACCCGAAACGATGATCCCGGCGTTGTTGAGGAGGATGTCGCAGCCACCGAAGCGGTCCGTGCAGGCGTCGAGCAGGGCGGCGCAGTCTTCCGGGTCGCTCACGTCGGCGCGCACGGCGAGCGTGGCCGCGCCGGTGTCGGCGGCGATGCGCCGGGCGGTCTCGGCGCACACGTCCTCGAGTACGTCGCCCAGCACCACATTCGCGCCGTGCTCGGCGAAGGCGCGGGCGCAGGCGGCGCCGATCCCCCGCGCCGCACCGGACACGATGGCGGTCTTTCCCGCGAGTGAAATCAACGTGTTCGGGCTCCGTGGCAGCAGTGACAGACCCCCGTCCCCGTCCATCCCAGCCTGCAAATTTCGCACGATTGGCGGTGGCTGGCGAGGCGGGGGGCAACGTTTTTCGCACGATTGGCGGTGGCCTGGCGAGCCGGGGGGCGACCACATCGGGGCTCCGGTGGCACCCCCGGGGCCTGCTGCGTACCTTCCCGCCCATGCGCACCCTCCGTTTCGCCCTTCCGTCGCTGCTCGGCGTGGCGATGTTCCTCGTCCCCTACCGCACCGCGGACGGCGTCAACATCGGGCTGGGGATCCTGACCGACTGGACCGAGGCGCTGCTGGGCGACTCGCTGCGCGTGATCGTGGTGGTCATCGTTTGCGTCTCGGCGGCCTTGTCAGCGTTCGTTGCGGTGGCGCGGCCCGCGTGGTCGCGCCGGCCGGGTGGGCTCGCCACGGTCCTGGCCGGATCCCGGACTTCGGTGGCGGTACGCGTAGTCGCCGCAGTCGTGGCGTGCATGATCCTCTTCGGCGCCGGACCCGCGTGGATCACCTCGGCGGACATGGGCGGGGTCATCCTGAACGACCTCATGACGGTGATCGTGGTCGTCTTTGTGTTCGCGTCGTTCCTGCTGCCGTTCCTGACCGATTTCGGCCTCATGGAGTTCATCGGCACGATGGCGCGGTGCGTCTTCCGTCCCCTGTTCCGGCTCCCGGGCAGGGCAGCGGTGGACGGCGCGGCCTCCTGGTTCGGCTCGTCGATCGTCGGGCTCGTGATCACCACCGAGCAGTACGACCGCGGCCACTACACCGAGCGGGAGGCGCTGGTCATCGCGCTCAACTTCTCGGTCGTGTCGGTCGCGTTCGCGAAGGTGGTGGCCGACTTCGCGGGCGTGGGCGAACACTTCCTCGCGCTCTACGGGGCCGTGGTCGTGAGCGGCCTGGCGGCGGCGGTGATCATGCCGCGCATCCCGCCCCTGTCGCGCAAGGCGGACCGCTATGCGGCCATCGGACCCGCGCAACCGGCCACCGCCCCCGAGCGCGGACTGCTCTCGCGCAGTCTGGAACTCGCTGGGGACCGGGCGGCGGGAGCACCCGGCCCCCGCGCCCTGGCCCGGCACGGGCTGCGCACCACCTGCGACATCTGGTTCGGGCTGCTGCCGCTGGTCATGGTGATCGGGACCTTCTCCCTGGCCATTGCCAACCACACCCCCGTCTTCACCTGGCTGTCCTACCCGCTGGTCCCCTTCGCCGAGCTCCTGCGGCTCCCCGAGGCGGCGGCCGCGGCTCCCGCGCTCCTCGTGGGCTTCGCCGACCAGTTCCTGCCGGTCATTCTCGGACAGGGGATCGAGAGCGAAGTCACCCGCTTTGTGATCGCCTGCGCGTCGGTGACGCAACTGGTCTACATGTCGGAGGTGGGCGCGTACCTGCTGAAATCGCGGCTGCCTGTCGGCCTGCTGGACCTGTTCGTGGTCTTCCTGCTGCGGACGGTGATCACGGTTCCTGTCTGCGCGGTGATTGGGCACCTGCTGTTCTGATTGCCAAAGGAATGCTGAGGGGTATCAGGCGTACATCGTCGTTGGCACCTTGCCCAGGAGCCGCGCGTACACCGTGAGGGCCCCGCGATGGTGCGCCGTGTGATCCACGATGGGCCCGACAATGGCAGAACGGGGCGCGCCCCGCATGATGCGCTCATCCGGAATCGTCGTGGCGAGGTCTTCGTCGGAGGCCGACTTGAAGGTCGCGATGGCCTTCTCGAATGCGCGGGGTCGAGCCACGCGTTGGCCTCTTCGAGCGTCTCCACCGCCCTGGCCGCCGCAATCAGGCCCTCGAAGTCCATGTTCCACCCCTTTCCCGAAGGCGCCCTCCACGAACCACTCGACCGAGTCGGCGGCGTGGGCGATGTGGCCGGCGACCGTGTAGAGTTCGGGCTTGGGCGCAAACCCCGCGTCGCCCTCCTCGAAGATGGAGATCGTGCTCTTGATGTACTTGTGGGATGTTTCCAGCTGGGTGACGATATCCGCGGTCTGCGACATGGGCATTTCCTCGGGTTGTATGCGGTTTCGTTGTAATAAGGGGCGGCCAAGTCTAGCTTAGCGGCGCACGCTTCTCCAGCCCTGGACCCATCCCATGATCCGGATCGCCTCGCCTTCACCACGCTCGCCGCATTGTCCTTCGTCCCCCGACTCCCGGGCAACGCGGTGGTTCCCGTCCCGGTTCACGGCCACACGCCGCATTGCAGCCATTTCGGCCGCCACGGTCCTCCTCCTCGCCGCCCTCGCACCGCTCGCTACTTCGGCCCAGGAGCTCCCCCGCGTCGCCCCCGCCGATGCCGGCTTCGCACCGGAGCGGCTCGAGCGCCTGGGCGCCGTGCTGGAAGACTATGTCGCCGACGGCAGTCTTCCCGGCGCGGTGGTGTTCGTGCTGCGCGACGGCGCCATCGTGTACGAGCACGCCGTCGGCTACAGCGACGCCGCGGCGGGCACACCGCTCGGGGCGGACGCGATCTTCCGCATCGCTTCGCAGACCAAGGCGATCGCGAGCGTGGCCGTGATGATGCTGCAGGAGGATGGCGCGCTCCTGATCGGCGACCCGCTCGGGAAGCACCTGCCCGCCTTCGCCACGACCACGGTCGCGGTGGCGCGCGAGGACGGGGGCTACGATATCGTGCCCGCCGACCGTCCCGTCACCATCCGCGACCTCCTCACCCACACGGCGGGGATCTCCTACGGCTACGGCCCCGGCGGCGACCGCTGGGAGGAGGCCGGTATTACCGGTTGGTATTTCGCGGACCGTGACGAGCCCGTGCGCGCCACCGTCGACCGCATGGCGGCCCTGCCCTTCCAGGCACAACCCGGCCAGGCCTTCGTGTACGGCTACTCCACCGACATCCTGGGGGCGCTGGTGGAAGAGGTTTCGGGACAGACGCTTGACGACTTCCTGCGCTCCCGGATCTTCGCACCCCTGGACATGCGTGACACGCACTTCTATCTGCCGTCCGGCAAGGAGGGCCGGCTGGCCACCGTTCACGGCCACAACGCCGAGGGCGGCCTGATCCGCTCCCCGGAGGGCCCGGGCATGAACACCCAGGGCCAGTACGTGACCGGACCCCGACAGAGCTTTTCCGGCGGTGCTGGGCTTCTCTCGACCGCCCGCGACTACGCCCGCTTCCTCCAGATGATGCTGAACGGCGGCTCGCTGGGAGACGCACGCATCCTGTCGCCCGCGAGCGTCGCGCTCATGACCGCCAACCACGTCGGCGATCTCATGGGAAACGGCAGCGGCTTCGGCCTGGGCTTCCAGGTCCGCCGCGACCTGGGCGCCGCGGGCCAGCCCGGCTCGGTCGGCGACTACGGCTGGGGTGGGGCCTACCACACGACCTACTGGGTCGATCCGGCCGAGCGCATGGTGGTCGTCTACTTCACCCAGCTACGCAGCTTTCGGCCGGTCGACGACCACGCGAAGTTGCGCGCCATTCTCTACGGCGCGCTGCAGGGCTGACCCGCGGACGGGGTTGCTTGCGCCCATCGGTGGTGGCCGGTTGGGGATTGGGCCGCCCTTGGCGTCTCCACCCCAACTTGCCAGATTGGTAAACCGTAGCTACACAACGACGAGGCCCTCAACCCACAAGGCTGCACGTTGATTCTGATTGACCGGCACACGCGTGCCGCCAAGGGCCCCTTCCACGCCACACTGCGGATCAAGCCCGCCGCGCGCGTCGAGCTGATCGACGTACGCGGGAAGCTCCTCGAGGAGTTCGGCGACGAGTTCACCCGGTATACCCGGTCGTTCTATATCTCGGACCACACCACCGCGGGGTTTCTGGACCAGCGCCTGGCCGAGCTTCTGGAGCACGACGGCCGCGGCATCAAGGGGCTATCTCCAGCTCTTCCAGGAACTGTTCCCCCCCGGGGCGGATTACGTCCACGACACGATGCCGCTGCGGACCGAGCTCTCCGAGGAGCAGCGGGCCAGCGAGCCGCTGAACGCGGACTCGCATCTCACCTTCATCGGAGCCGGACTGCACAACTCCGCGTCCTACGAACTGAACGGCGCCGAACCCGTGTGGTTCGTCGAGCTGGACGGGGTGCATGTGGGCGGAACCCGGCACCGGCGCACGACGGTGGTCGCCTACGACGGTGAAGAGGAGGTCGAGCGGCGGCGGCTTTGCGTCCCGTCCTCGCCCCATCCGATCGACGCCCAGAACCTGCGTGACCCGGACGTCGGATTCATCGGCGTCCTGCAGCAGATGGTCGAGGAACACCAGGTCTCGTTCGGCCGCTTCGACGTCTCGCTCCCAGATGAGGAGGAGCACGCGGGACTCACAGTAAACGAGTACGAGACGCTGCTCATGAACTACGACCTGCGCGAGGCGCTCCGGAACCCGTTCCGCTTCATGGCCCAAACCGGCAAGGACGTGCGGGACGTGCTGCGCGACCCCCGGTCGATCCCGGCCAAGGCCATCAACTTCGCGCAGTTCGACGCGGTCCAGGTCCTCAACCAGGTGCTCGACCGGATTCGGCTCCGCGACTCGGTGGTCGAGCGGGTCGTGAACCGGGCCGTGGCGCTGCCGGTGTCGCACTTCCTGCGCATGAAACGCGCCTTCAGCCTCCCGGTGCTGGACCGCGGCGGCGACGGCACCGGAGAGATCGGCTGGGGGACGTACCAGAGCCCGATTCTGGTGCAGTGGAAGGGCGCCGAGCAGCGGACCCGAGCGCTGGATGTGACGCTGGTGAGGTTCGTGTAGGAGGGCTCGTGGACTAGCCCACGTTGCCCTCCTCTTGCCCACGGGCGAAGTTGCCAGCATGCGCGAATTCAACACCGCCGGTCCCATTCACCCCGACAGGCACTACTGCATTCCGCCGCTGAACCGCCTGAATCTGGCCGAGGTCCTGGCGCTGATCCGCGGCCAGCAGTACTTCGTGCTCCACGCCCCACGCCAGACCGGCAAGACCTCGGCGCTTCTGGCGCTGCGGGACCTGCTCAACGGCGGCTCCGTAGGGGACTACCGCTGCGCCTACGTCAACGTGGAGCCCGCGCAGACGGCTCGCGAGGATGTGGGCAGGGCGGCCGGCGCCATCGTCGAGGAGATGGGGCGGGAAGCGCACGATATCCTGGGCGACACCGCCACGGCGCAAGCGGCCGAGTCCCTGGACACCACAAGCCGCCCGGACAGCGCGCTTGGCAAGTTTCTCTCGCTCTGGGCCAGGGCCGACGCCAGACCCCTGGTCCTCCTCATCGACGAGATCGACGCACTCGTGGGCGACTCGCTGGTGTCCGTGCTGCGGCAACTCCGTGCCGGCTACGTCAACCGACCGGAACGCTTTCCGCAGAACGTGGTGCTTTGCGGCGTGCGCGATGTGCGTGACTACCGTATTCACGCAAGCTCGGAGAAGCAGGTCATCGCCGGCGGCAGCGCCTTCAACATCAAGGGGAAGTCGCTACGCCTGGGCGACTTTGGCGAGACCGAAGTGCGCGCGCTGTTGGGACAGCATACCGCCGACACCGGCCAGGCGTTCACGAACGAGGCGGTGAACGCGGTGTGGTCGCAAACCCGCGGCCAGCCGTGGCTCGTCAACGCGCTGGCGATGGAAATGTGCTTTGAGCACGGAGGACTCCGGCCTCGCGACCGCGCCATGGCCGAACGAGATGTCTACGACGCCCGCGAAGCCTTGATCCTGCGCCGTGAAACCCACCTGGACCAGCTCGTCGACAAGCTCCGGGAGCCGCGCGTGCGGCGGGTCATTGAGCCATTGCTGAGCGGCGGCGACGCGAAATACTCCGCCCGGGACCGGGAATACGTGCGCGATCTGGGGTTGGTCGCGCCGGACGCGCCACTCCGTATCGCAAACCCGATCTACGAGGAAGTGGTGCCCAGGGAGCTGACCTGGGTGCTCCAGGACGAGATCGCCCAGCAGACCACCTGGTATGTGGACGCCGACGGCGGACTGAACCTCGAAAAGCTCCTGGCCGCCTTCCAGCAGTTCTTTCGCGAGAACTCGGAGCATTGGGTGGAGAGGGCGAACTACAAGGAGGCGGGACCGCAACTGGTCCTGCAGGCGTTTCTCCACCGGGTGGTCAACGGCGCGGGCCGCATCGAGCGGGAGTACGCGCTGGGCAGTCGCCGGGTGGACCTGCTGGTCGTCTGGCCGCCGGAAACGGGCCGCCCGGGCAGGTTCGTCGTGGAATGCAAGCTGCTCCGCGGCGGGAGGGACCGAACCGTGGAGAAGGGTCTCGAGCAGACGGCCCGCTACATGGACCTGTCAGGCGCGGACTCCGGACACCTGGTCGTCTTCGACATGCGCGAGGGGACGAGTTGGGAGGACCGGATCTTCCGGGAGGAGCGCACCTGGGGCGGCAAGCGGATCACGGTTTGGGGGATGTGACGACGGCGCACTGTAATCTGTACATTACATAATGGAAACTACGCTTTACATTTTGCGTGTGTGACAGGGGATCACTTCACACCAGCGACTTCCCCTGCGCCCCATCCACCGCAATACACGCCCCGGTAATCAGGCTGGCACGCTCGGACGCCAGGAACGCGACCACGTCCCCCACCTCCCCCGCCCGCCCAAAACGCCCAAGCGGCAGATTCGCCTGCACGAAGGCACGCATCCCATCCGGGTCGGCCTTCACCCGCTTGTCCCAGCTGCCCCCCTCGAAGCGAATCGATCCCGGTGCGACGCAGTTCACGCGGATGCCATCCTTCGCCAGCTCCAGCGCCATGATCCCCGCGGCCGAGATCAGCGCCGACTTGGTCGTGTTGTAGATCGACAGTCCCGGACCGCCCTTCTCCCGCCCGAAGACCGATGAAACGAAGACGATCGCGCCGCCACCCCGCTCACGCATCATCGGGATGGCGCCGCGGCTGGCCCGGAACCCCGCCAGCACGTTCAGCTCGATAATGTCGAGCCAGTCCTGGTCGCTGGTTTCCTCGAATCTGCCGCGACGGTTGCCGCCCACGTTGTTGACGAGGATGTCGAGGGCACCGTAGCGGTCGCGCACGGCGTCGAGCAGGGTCTGCGCGCCGTCCGCGGCGGCGATGTCGCACTGCACTGCCAGCACCTCGCTGCCGAGAGCCCGCAGCGACTCTGCGGCCGCCTCCAGCCCCTCGGCACCGCGAGCGCAAATCGCCAGCCGCGTGCCCTCGCCGGCCAGCGACCGCGCGCTGTAAAAGCCCAAGCCACGACTGCCGCCCGTGACGACCGCAACTTTGCCTTCTAGTCCGAGATCCATGGGGTCAGCGCCCCGTACCGGCGTCGTGGGCGCGTCCAGCCCGCGCGGGAAGCCTGCTCTCACCGGCCCCGCCCGCCCCGCGCGCCGCAGCCGGCCCGCCCCCACCATCCGAGATATTCGCCCGAAGCAGCCGCTCCAGCGTGCGAATATGCCCCTGCAGCGCCGTGTTCAGCTGGTCGTAGCGCCGCACCGCGTCCTCGCCCGGCTCCTGGTCGGCGCGGGTCAGGTTACCGTACAGGTACTGGAGCTGGTCGACCAGCATGGGGCGCGAGTAGCGGCGCGGTTCCGAGACCAGTTCCTTCTCCACCGCCTCGATCTCGGAGGCGAGTTCGCCCCCGCCCCGCTCCCGCGCCTCCTCGATGCGATGCACCGCCAGCCTGGCCTCGCTCAGGGCATCCCGTACCTCGAGCGCGAAGTCCACCTGCCGACGCACCAGCCCCTCGTCGATCCCCTCGGCCGCGACGCGCGGGTCGAGCATGACCTCGAAGGTACGGCTGGCGCTCCAGTCCCCGGCCGACAGACGCGCCGTATATGTCCCGGGCGGCACCATGGGGCCACCGCGCCCGGATCGTCCCGGGTTGGGGGCCCACGGACCCGGATGGGACAGGTCCCAGGTGAAGCGATGCGTCCCTGCGCCGTCCGGCAGCCGCGGCGTCCCGAATCGTTCCAGGCGCCACTCGCGCATGCCGGGCTCGGCCGGCACGGTGTACTCGCCAGGCCCCTGGTTCGAGATGGAGCGGACCAGAACGCCCTCCGCGTCCACGATGTCCAGGGTGAGCGGACCGGTCACAGCGTCGGACAGCACATAGTCGATTTGGGCGCCCGCCTGCGGATAGCTCGGCCGGACCCCGCCGCGCCCCCCGAAGCCACCGCCGTAACGCAGCCTGTGTACGTCGCGGATCTCGTAAAGGTGTGCGCTAGCGCTGGCTACACGGTCGTCCAGTTCGTGCAGCGGCGTGAGGTTGTCCATGATCCAGAAGCCCCGGCCCATCGTCGACAAAACCAGGTCCCCGTGCACGACCTTCATGTCCGTGACGGGCGTCACCGGAAGGTTCAGCTGGAAGGGCTGCCAGGTGCCGCCGTCGTCGAAGGAGATGAACATCCCGAACTCGGTGCCCAGGTAGAGCAGGCCCTCGCGGTCGGGATCCTCGCGCACGACGCGCACGGGATGGTTGCCCGGGCACGCCGTTCTCGCCGGTCGTGATGCGGGTCCAGGTGGCGCCGTAGTCCTCGGTGCGGTAGGTGTACGGAGCGAAATCGCCCAGCTGGTATCGAAGAATGGCTACATAGGCCTTCGCGGGGTCGTGATGGGACACTTCGATCGTCTGCACGCGCCCGTACGGGCCGATCCCGGGGGGCGTCACGTCGTCCCAGTTGGCGCCGCCGTCGCGGGTCACGTGCACGGGACCGTCGTTGGCGCCCGCCCAGATCACGCCGGGCTCGAGCACCGACTCCTGGATGTCGTAGAGGACCGAGAAGTGCTCCTCGCCGGTCACGTCGAGGGTGATCGGATGTCCTGAAACGACCTGGGTTTCCGGGGTGAAGGCGGTGAGGTCGGGCGAGATGGTCTCCCAGCGCTGGCCGCCGTTGGTGGTGACGTGCACGAACTGCGAGCCGTGGTAGACCTTGTTCGGATCGTGGGGCGAAACGTGGATGGGGACGACGCGCTGAAAGCGGTATTCGAGGTCCTTGGGGTTGTGCCCGTACAGGTTGGCCATGCCCACGTAGTAGTGCTGCTCCTGTCCCGTTCTGCGATTGTAGAGCCCGAAACGGCCCTTGCAGTTGGCGTAGACGATGTCGGGGTCGCCGGGTTTGGGGACCACCGGGCCGGTTTCGCAGCCGCCGTGGGATTCCCAGGCCGACTGTGGGCCGCCGGGCTCCGAGCGTTCCGGCAGGCTGGGCACGGAAATGGTGGAATTGTCCTGTGGCCGGCGTAGAGGCGGTAGGGGAAGTCGTCCGAGACGTCCACCTGGTAGAGTTCGGCGGTGGGCTGGTTCAGCTGGGTGGACCAGGTCTGGCCGCCATCGATCGAGACGTTGGCGCCGCCGTCGTTCGACTGGACCATGATGTCCGGGTTGTCCGGGTTGATCCACAGGTCGTGGTTGTCGCCGTGGGGCGTGGAGCGGGGCTGCCAGCTGCGTCCGCCGTCCGTGCTCATCCAGTGGCCCTCGGCCATCCCCCAGAGGATGTCGGGATCGGTGGGATGACCCTCCAGATTCATGTAGTAGAAGGGCCGGTTGAGGATCGGCTGGAAATCGGTGACCTGACGCCAGGTGGCGCCCCGATCGTCGGAGCGGTAGACGCCGCCGGTGTCGGGGGGCGCCTCGATGAGCGCGTAGACGCGGTCGGGGTCGCCGGAGCTGACGGCCAGGTCGGACTTGCCCGCGCAGGCCGGTGGGGAGGCCGTCGGTGGCCTGGCTCCAGGTGTCGCCGCCGTCGCGCGAGATGTAGATGCCGCCCTCCAGCCCGCCCGAGATGATCGTCCAGGGCTTGCGCTCGCCGCGCCACATGCTGGCGTAGACGGTGTTCGGGTCGTCGGGGGCGAACTCGAGGTCGACCGCGCCGGTGCTGTCCGAGACGAAGAGGACGTTCTCCCAGTTCGCGCCGCCGTCGCGGCTGCGGTAGACGCCGCGGTCGGGGTTGGGCGCGAAGGGGTTGCCGATCGCGGCCACGTAGACGAGGTCGGGGTTGTCGGGATGGATGAGGACCGCGCCGCTGTTGCCGGTGAGCTCCAGGCCGAGGTGCTGCCATGTCTCGCCCGCATCGGTGGACTTGTAGACCCCATCACCGATGATGACGTTGCTGCGAATGCCGTCCGAACCGGTCGACACGTACACGATGTTCGGGTCCGAGTCCGCCACCCGGATCGCGCCGATCGAGCCTGTCCCGAAATAGCCGTCGGAGATGTTGCGCCAGTTGTGGCCGCGGTCGGTCGTCTTCCAGACGCCGCCGCCGGTCGCACCCATGTAGAAGGTGGAGGGGTGGGCGCGGTGGCCCGCCACCGCCGTGACGCGGCCGCCGCGCGAGGGGCCGACGTAGCGGTAGCGGAGGCTGCCGAAGAGGTCGTCGGAGAAGCGCGGGGGGGCGTCCTGGGCGAGGGTGGGGGTCGGGGGAGCGAGGGAGGAGGCGGCGGATAGCACCGCGATCGCGGCAATAGTGACCGGGGACAGGCGCTTCCTGGTCATTCGTGCATCTCTTCCTTTTGGAGTTCGGTGTCCGGGTTGCGTGAGCGCACGTTGGCGCGACTCGGGTTCAACATATCGCGTCGGAGGGTGACCGGAACAGCGCCCTCCCGATATTCTCCGCCCGCCCCTCATCCCTATGCTCCCCGTGGCCGCCCGTGGACAAAACCATACGCGGGGCTTGTACGGCTTTCCGGTGGTGAGTGACCAAGGCCCAGCACTACGCCCGGTGTCCGGGTCGGCCAACTCCACAAGGAGACCCGCCATGAACAAGAAGAAGGCAATCATCGCTCTTGGGATCGCTGGCCTCGTCATGCTGACGATGACGTTCGCGGTCGCCTGTGGCCCTGACAGCCCAGAGATGGTGCCGGACAATACGGAAGAGCCCGGCGGTGTAGTCGTGAGCGCGGTCGCAAATGCTATCGACGCTGCGCTGGATCGTGTTGTCGAACTTCCCGAGAACCGGGATCCCATCCACCAAGGCAGCCGCACCTTCGAGGTGAGTGGCCGCGTCCTCGTGCGAGCTGCCGGCATCACGGCTGTTGGCCTCCAGAGCGTGGTTCAGCAGCGCGGCTGGACATTTGTGGATGAAGGGGTTGATCCGCGGATCTGCGATGAGGCCCTGCCTGACGGTTGGGGATGGTCGCACTGCGTCATCGGCGGCAGTGATCCGAATGCCCTGTACCTCGACATCCGGTCCATTGTTGGCACTGAGTCCGATGGCTACGAGGTGGCGATATAGGGCCTATCGGAACGTGTCCGTACCTTACAATCGCTACCTTGCCCAGGGTGTCGGATTCACCGACGACTCCGAGTATGACAGGCTGGTAACGCAGTGGTCCGATCACCCCGGTGTTCTGAATGGCAGAGGCTATTGGGGCGATCCCGGCACGTTCAAGGTCACTGTTGACTCGAAGGGGGCCACTAGCCACGAATACGAGGCGCCGGGCCAAGTGGTCTACATGCGTTCGCACGAAGAATTGGCTTTGAGCGACAAGTGGAGCGCGTGCCACGAACTCCGGGAGAGGGGAGACCAGGATGGCTTCCGACGGTGTGAGAGAGAGCATTGGGAGATGGGGAAAGCCATGCTGGAATCGTTGAACGAGATGGCTGCGACCGCTGTGGTTGAGGCCGAGGAAAGGGGGCGGAAATGAATATATGCCAGCCCGGCGCCTCGCCGCCCTCGGTGTTCGGGCGGATTTATCCACGGACTGCCAGGCTCACGGGCGTCACCGGTCACTCGGGCGAATAGGAGCGAAGAATGCAGCGGCGCCACTACCACCGACTCATGGCGGGTCCGGCCCGCGGACAGAATCCCCCCGGCAATCCGGCGTCTCGCCGCTCCCCGTGCTCGCGCGGCTTTATCCACGGACTGCTCGGATGCAGCCTCCTGATCCCCACTCCGACATCGGCCCAGGAAACCGACCCGGACACGACCGCGGCACCCCCGGACACAGCCAAGTCACTCCCCCTCCAGACCACGCGAACCATCGCGTTCACGACCGACGAGGGCACCTGGATCGATCTGGACGTCAGTCCGGACGGGCGCACGATCGTCTTCGAACTGCTGGGGGATCTCTACACGATCCCGGTTTCCGGGGGCGCGGCCACGCGCATCACGAGCGGAATCGCCTACGACGCGCAGCCGCGCTTCTCCCCCGGCGGTGACCGGATCGTCTTCGTCAGCGATCGCAACGGTGGCGAGAACGTCTGGCTCGCCAACGCCGACGGCAGCGAATCCGAGATGTTGACTAATGGGATGACCAACCGCTTCCAGTCGCCGGAGTGGACGCCCGACGGACACATCGTCGTGTCGAAGGGGACGGGCGCTTCGAGGGGTGGCGGTTTTCCTTCGCGGCAGTATGACCAGCGGACCTACGACATCATGCTCTACGATTTGCGCGGGGGAAGGGGGATCAAGCTCGACCTCGGGGAGACGACGAGTCTCCTGGGAGCGGCCTTCGGCTCGGACCCGCGCTACCTCTACGTGAGTTCCGACGGGCAGCCCCGGCCCGGCGGATGGAGGATCCTCGTCCTGGATCGGGAGACCGGGAAGACCACGTCCGTCGCGAGCAACGCCGGCGGCGCGCTCCGCCCCGTGGTCAGTCCGGACGGCCGGTGGCTCGTGTTCGGCGCGCGCTACGATCATGGGCAGGGGCTCCGCATCCGCGATCTGGAGACCGGGGAGGAGCGCTGGTTGCACACCGACGTGCAGCGCGACGAGCAGGAGGGGATCTTCTCGCGCGACCTGATGCCCGCCTCGGCCTTCACCCCGGAGGGCGACGCGCTGATCCTCTACGCCAGCGGGAAGATCCGGCGGATGGCGGTGCCCTTCGGGCGAGATGACCGAAATCCCCTTCACCGCGGATGTCGAGATACCTGCGGGACCCCTGGTCCGCTTCGACTACCGGATCGAGGACGACACGGTCGAAATCCAGCAGATCCGCGGCGCGCGCCCTTCTCCCGATGGAAGGAGACTCGTCTTTACCGCCCTCAACAAGCTCTGGCTGATGGATCTGCCGACGGGCGTGCCCCACCGTCTGACCGATGCCGCCGGAGTGGTCGAGCACGACCCGTCTGGTCGCCGGACGGTCGTCACATCGCATACGTGACCTGGAGGGGCGGAACGAATCCGAAGGGACGATCCAGAGTGTGACCTCGCCATCGGGGACGGGGCCGGCCTCGCCCCAACGGCTGACCGAGGAGCCCGGCTTCTACGAGAACGCGGTCTACTCCGCGGATGGCAGCCGCATCGTGGCCGTGCGGAATTCGCTCTACGACCGGGCTGAGGCAAGCTTCGGCGGGGAGGTGGCGCTCGTGTGGATTCCCGCCGCGGGTGGTTCAGCGACGGTGATCGCCAAGGGTCGCGGCATCCCGCAGTTCACCGACGACACGTCGAGGGTCTGGGTCAACGTTGGCGACAGACTCGAGTCGATGGGGTGGGACGGGTATGACCGGCGCACCGAACTGACCGTCTCCGGAGTGCAGCAACTCCTCATCTCGCCAAATCGGCAGTACGCATACGCGCTGGGCGGCGGCGGTCCGCAGGCCTATCTCGTCACGCTTCCCGGGGTCAGCGGGATCACCGTCTCGGTGGCCAGTCCCGCCGGAGCAGCCGTCCTGGTGAAGAAGATCACGACGATCGGGGCCATGTTCCCCGGATGGTCGCACGACTCCGGGAGCCTGCACTACTCGCTGGGGCGGTCCTTCTTCACCCACGACGTCACGGCGGAAGATTCGGCCGCGACGTCGCGAACCGACATCGTGCTGCGCGTGCCGGCCGACAAGCCCGGCGGGACCGTCGCCCTGCGCGGAGCCCGCATCCTCACGATGAACGGCCGCGAGGTCATCGAGCGGGGCGACATCGTGGTGACCGACAACCGAATCGTCGCCGTGGGGAGGAGCGGGAGCGTGGACATCCCCTCGGGAGCCCGCTCCATCGACGTCTCCGGGAAGACGATTCTTCCGGGGTATGTCGATAGCCACGGACACGCCGGCGGTTTCGGGAGAGGCGAGGTCATGCGAGACCGGGATTGGAGCTTCATGATCATGCTCGCCTACGGGGTCACGACGATTCGGGATCCTTCGACGGGCACGGATGTCTTCGGCTACTCCGACCTCCTGAGGGCCGGAGAGATGATCGGTTCCAGGATGTACGCCACCGGTCCCGTCCTGAGCGGCGGCAACAACATCACCAGTCTCGACGACGCAAGAGACGTGGTCACCCGCTACGCCGACTTCTACAACACCCGCTACATCAAGCAGTACGGAGCCGGTGAACGACGCGTGCTCCAGTGGCTCCTGCAGGCGTCGGCGGAAAAGGAAGTGACAGCCGTCACCGAGCCCTACTACGATGTGAAGAAAGATGTGAACGATGCGCTCGACGGGTACCCGGAGATGGGGCACGGCTGGCCCATCTACCCCGTCTACAGGGATCTGACCCAACTCCTGGTGCAGACGGGCCAGGTACACACGGCCACCCTCACGACCACCTTCGGCGGACCGAAGGGACGCACCTACTTCTTCACCCGCAGGGACTTCCACGACGACCCCAAGCTCCGCCGCTTCATGCCGCACGCCGATGTCGACCGGGCGGCCTTGCGCCAATCGAACTGGTACGCCTCCGGGCAGTACATCTTCGCCCGGCACGCGGAGGGGATCCGCAAGATGATCGAGGAAGGGGTGAAGGTCGCGATGGGCGGCCACGGCGACTTTGACGGGGCTCGGATTCCACTGGGAGTTGGAGATGCATGCGATGGGGGGCGTGCCCGAATGGGAGATCCTGAGGGCCGCGACGATCAATGGGGCCGAGGCGATCGGGTTCGGCCGGGACATCGGATCGATCGAGGTGGGGAAGCTGGCGGACCTTCAGGTGCTCGACCAAAACCCGCTCGACGACATCCTCAATACGCTCGCCATCCGCTACGTGATGAAGAATGGCCGGCTCTACGAGGGCGATACGTTGAAGGAGATCTGGCCGAGGGAGATGGACGCGCCCGCGCTCTGGTGGTGGTAGGGCGGGGGTGATGAGAAACACGCGCAAGTCCTGTTGACAGGGAGTGACGCGCCGTCGGCGTTGCGGGAGGGCATCAGTCGGAGGGCGTGACTCAAGGCGTAACCGCCGCATCCCTTCGCGGCTCACCAGGCGGACTTGCGGCACGTCAGGCGCCGGCTAGCTTCTCCCCCCGGCAGCCAGTCGGCCGCCGCCCGGCATACCCTTCAGCCCCACCATAAAACCCATGTCCGCCACCACCCGATTCAAAGCCCTCGTCACGACGGCCACCGCCCTATGCACCGCCGTCACCCTCCCCCCCACCCCCCTCACCGCCCAGACCTTCCCCACCGACGACCCCGTCATCCAGGCCATGTGGGCCGAAGGCATGGGCGACGGCAGCCAGGTTTTCGCCCTCTCCCAAGCCCTGCTCGACTCCATCGGCCCCCGCCTGATGGGCACCCCCGCCTACGCTCGCTCCGCCGACTGGCTCATCGCCAACTACGAGCGG